TTTTCGTCTTCACAATTCTCATCGTATATGTATCTTTACCGTTTGGACAATTGTAGCTGTCACGAATAAGACTTTTGATTACGATGATCTCGCAAAAGTATTTAGGTCTTTGAGATACGTGGTTACGGGGTCACGGTATGATTTTAAATATATTTTTAATGGTTCAACGATCCATACGATCATATAATATTACAACACAATATAATGACTCGAACCTACAAGAACCGTACATAAAAGGGAGGGCGCAATGGGGACATTTTCCCTGGGTGGCTGAATTTTGATCCATTTAGAGGGGCGGCCATACACCACTGTAATATTGTATAAATAAATGTAAATAATAATTTAAAATTCTTAATATAATTTTATACGTAATTAACAAATTAAGGCTATAAGGATAAATAAAGGACTATTACTAAAAATGTGTTAAAAAAAAAAAATTATTAAAAAATAATCTATTTTTGTGGAGGAAGGGGTGTACAAATACGGTTGACCCTGGGCGTAAAATTTGTAAATATGGCTCTGAAACCCACGAATAGCTTTTTTCAAGTACCGCTACTATGTAACCGTGGGCTGTCGACTACAGACACTATCAGACTCTTGTCTGCATACAAAATATAAATGAAAAAGAAGAAATGTTCGTATAATAAAATCGGATCGAATACGGGTATTATCAAATACGGTAGCTCAATTTTTCATTAAATCACACCATGTGTTCATCTATTCTTTAGAAATCAATGGCGGCAAACCTTCGAATTCACATATCATTCGCGCATTATTGCTAATCATGTAAAAGCTGTTATAACCCCCCACAGCACAGCAATATGTATATAATATGTATTTGGAATTTCACATTGTCTATGTACAAGTTTCTATAGCCGTAAACCGCATTGAAGTAAAATGTCGTCATGCTCGGTCCACGATGATGATAGCGTATCGATTATTTAATTATTATTCATTTGTATTCGTCTATAAACAAGTATAAACTACAATAGTTTAAAAATCGATCGACGCAGAATTGTAATGAGGAAACTGTTCGATTTACTTGTTATCAACTTTATTTTTTAAGGCTATGATCATTATAACATTTTAATTATTTATTATTAAAAATTTACAACTACGCATCGCGTAGGCTTTTTGAATAAAAATTAATTAGTTACACGTTTTTTTCGTTTGCTTCGATTGGTTCATCATAGGTAATATTATATATATATATATATATATATATATAGGTAGCATACAATATGACAAATTTTATAAAGGTTTTAAGTACGAATATGAATATTGAATATTTCATAATAGTATTAATTGCATATTATTTTAGTTGTACAGGCACCACATTATTTAATTTGTGCAATATATTCTATATGCAATTATGTAATTATGTTGCATTATTTATAATTGAAAACGAAACTGATAAAAAAAAAATTGACTTCGTAATTGATAGTACCTACTGACATAATGATGCTATTTAATATTTATACATTTTGGTTAAAGCGATTAATTATTAGATCATATATGAATGTAACACATCGAATAAACAATTATTGAAAATAAATTTAAACTGTGGCAATCATTATTACCTATTTTTTTTTTTTAATTCTAAGCGAAACGAGAAATGTATGAGTTTTACCTTGATATGTGTTTTTTTTTGTCTGTGTATTCAATTTCGACAAGAAGAATTGCTCTGATCATCTCAATCAACGGAAGTTCCAGATAGGAAATGTAAATATTGTGTAGAATATTTTACTTCTAAGTTTCTTCTAAATATCTAATAAATGCTATTAATGAAATCGTTATCTATTTAATTTCATGGAGTCATAAAATAATAATAATTCATATAATAACATAAATAATATATATATATAATTATATATAATAACAATAATTTTCACGTAAGATTTACTAAGATTACGAGAATTGAAAATTAATTTAATTCATTTTTTTTTTATATCAGGCGCATTGTATAACAGTAATAATAAGAACGTTAATAATATTATGACATAAAATAAATTAATAAAATAAAATAATTAAATAAGATAAGATGATAACGATAAATGCAAAAAAATGTATATCGTTTAATCATCGTCGTCTCAATAATAATCAAAGTCTCTTGATAATTATTTTATAATGATTTATAAAAAATACGAGTATGTTGAATTTAAGTCAAGTCTTAAAAATAATACATATGAAATTTAACTGTTTCAACTTGCTTTGAACATCAATTTTACAATTATAACATAACCATTCAAATATGTATGATGAAAAAAATCTTTCCATTATGTCTACATGATACTTATTGTTATATTAACATAATATTTACCAAAATTGATTTAGATTTATTCAAACGTTGGTATTTGGAAAATGTTGAATTTTTTGTTTAGCTATAAAAAATTATCGGAAAAATAAAAACGCAAAATTACACGCATAATATTCACTTCTACAAAACAAAAATAAAATAAAATAAGGAGCCTTTATGAATCTATACTTAATGGTTTGGTTCTGCGTAATATGATTTTTCTGCCCAAAAATTGTGAATAAATGGTTATTTTATTTATGGATCTACTTATACGATCAGGCATAACGCACTTGTATGTATACATCCGTACTGTATACCGTATTGTTGTCGATAGATTGAACGTTAAATTCGAAAGGAACTTTTTTGAGTACTACATCATTTTAATAATTACGAAAAACTGACAAAACAGCTAAAAAATTAAAAGTTCAACCAATCTTATTAAAAGATTACCTTTATCTTTAGAAGTATAACTGATCTATCTAGCCTCTTTCGCTCAGAAACGTTTCTTCAATGGTGCAATGGTACATTCGTTTCAAGTTTAAACCTAGTATCGATATTGCAGTGTAATTTACCCGTCTCTGTACTCATCCAACCTAGGAACTTCTTTGGTTTTTCTTTCTATAGATCCATCTTCTATGTTTTATTTAAATACCATAACCGGTAAAAAAATTAATATTAATGTATTCCATTGTTTTTTTATTTTTGTCATACTTCGACGAAAGATATGCGTATTAACTATTTATAACATGCAATATGCGACGCATATTTTACGTAAATCTACATAGGTACATATATTATTCAATAAATCTTTATTAAAACACTTAGATATTATTAAATCGTTTAAATATAGGCGGTGCACAAATTGGGAAAAATTAAATAGAGGGGCTCAATTTAGCGATTTAAAAACTGCGTTTCTAGAGAAAAATTACATAATAGAGACCAGTGGGGGGGGGGGGGGCTAATCTATGGTGTAAACACGAAATCGCACGCCAGACCTTCTGTACGTATTAAAAATGTTTAAAATTAAGGCCTTTTAAAACAAAATACACGGTAAGCTTATTTAAGCCAATCTGACACAGAAGTCACCGTCAGCACTTTGAATACTAAATTTCAGTTTTACATATTTATAGTATCCACAGACCTCATGGTTCTTATACGTGTAATGTCTTTGATAGTATCATATAAATAAACAATAAAAAAAAAAATATATATATATATATAAGACCATACAATAGAATGTTGTCATGAAATCATAAAAATAACAAAATATAATAAGAAACAGTAGGATATTATGTGATATTTGTTTACATTACTTCGTAAGTATATTACGGATATCGATCGATGTAATCGATTATCAATGTATTATGTCTGTTGGACGTAAGTCAGATTTTAGGCAACGTCAGGCAACTACAGCGCGAGTTTAGTCGGTCATATGATTTCGTATGCTACAGGCACATCCCATTTATATTTTTACACGTATGTAATACACCACGTTACACAGGGTGGTCCCTAGAGATTTTCCGTGTTGGCTATATTTATAAACATTGGCTATTGAAGAGAACCTAACATCACGGTTCACCGCACGCGCGCACACACACTCATAAATCGATGCGACTTTGACCCACACGCTCATGATCAGTAGAACGTTGCAGTAACTTTTTGCTAGGTTTTTTGTTTTTTTTAGCCACAAGGGCGAAATCGGAAAACGAAGACGCCGAAATAATATAATAGTAATAATAATAACCAACCGTAATTAGTATCCGTACACGTTAATTCCTTGTCGAGATAACAAAACGCTTTGAAAAACGTGGTGTATATATATATATATAAAAAAAAAAAAATCCTAATAAATATAATTTTCCCTTGTCGTCGTAGTTTTTAAATTGATTTACGATTTCAATGATCATAATGACACAAGGTCGCGTTATCCCAAATAACTAATGAACCAGTAACGCGCGCGCGACTGTTCGAGTAGCAGCAGCAGCAGTCGTCGTAGTGAGCCGCCGCGAACGGACCGCCCGGCGATCGGTTATTCATTTTTTTTTATTTTTGAATTTGTTTTCCTCCGTCGCCGCCGCGTAATCGTGTGCGTGTGCGCGCGCGCGTCAAAACAAAACAAATTGGACGCCTGTCAACCAGCGGTCTATAAGCGTACACGTACCGGGAGCGCGCGAACAAATAATAATAATAAAAAAAAAAAAAAAAAAAGAAAAAACCATAATGATAATAATAATAAGTTATTTTCGAACGTAGCGCAGCGGCTGTATTGTGTACGCGCACATGCGACACACTCTCTGCGTATTACAATACAGCAGCGGCGGCGGCGAACGTCTCCTACGTTAGCGCCGACGACAGTGTTATTTTTAGTTCTTCGCGAAGAGCAGTAGCGTTTCGGTAGTCGCGCGCGGACGTCGCAGCATCGTGTTCGCCGCGAAGGTACGCGCGCGTAGTTCATCGTCAGGTTTTCGGCCAGCCGTCGCGGTACAACGATCGATAGGTACGCGCATCCCTCCGATCGATATTGTCAAAGGATCGATAACGTCGGACGTCAGACGCATTGTCGTATCGTGCACACGCCGTCGCGTTTACTTTTACCGGGATACGTGCGCGCGCGCCCACCAACACACTCGTTGCCGTCTCACAACCATGTTCGCGCGATAACAACACTAACGCGTTGTTTTTTTTTTTTTTTACCCGGTCGCAGGTCCTCCTCGTCATACACCGTCCGGTCGAAGACCGAAAACAAAACCAACACGCTCATAAACTATCCCTTCGTCGTCAACATGCGCTCCCCCAACGTGTACCTGTACGCTTTCTTGACGGCCGTGGCGCTGGTGCCGCGGTCCGCGGCTCGGCCCGCGTCCGTCAAAGTGCAGGTCATCGAAACCTACGACGGCGGTCCGACCGCTGCAGGGTCGCCGGCCGACGCCCAACAGAACACCATCGTCGAAGTCTCCCCGGGCGACACGGCCGTGCTCCAGTGTCCCAGCAACGACGAGCGGCACAGGTTCCAGTTCTGGTGGATGAAGTCCGACCAGTACATCGGGCCCGGCACGTTGCTCAACAGCGACAAGTTCAAATACGAAGTCCTCACCGGCACGCTGTACATCAAGGTCGGTATACACGTCAATTATTATATGGACCAGTTGCTTGACGTTGTTAATGTCATCCAACTCGTCCACACACCGCGGATTAGGTTAGCACGTTTAACAGTTGCCGGGGGGGGGGGGAGTTGGCCTATAAAAAATACCAATATTTCAATACTTAGTATCATCCCGATCGCACTATTTACGATATTAAAAAGTACGTCCGACGTCCATACTGCCCTGCCGACCACGGATATAAGTATAAATTATCGATATACCGTTCTCTATATTATAATCCAACAAAACAAACGTGGAACAAGGTGTATGTAATTATTGAACACTTCTTTTCTTCACCGCTGTATTGCACCGGTATAGATTACGTATTATTGGCATTATGGGCATTATAGGGGAAAGTGTTTTTCTATTTCGAAAAATCATAAGATTCGACAACTGAAAATCTGAGATTTTTTTTTATTAATATTTGACAAGGATTATGTTATTTAAATAATGCGTTAAAATATGCATTGTAAAGAATAAATTGCCATATTCTATACTTGTTAAATTACAACAAAATAATAATGTTTTTTTTTTTATTATTTTTATATACAGCAAGTTACGTCTAAAGAAAGCGGAATCTACACGTGCGTCTGCAAAAACCTCGAAAACATATCACTGTCTGCAAAATCCGTACAATTAGAGATAAAAAAAGAATGGCGAGATCTCTGGGCAAATGACTACACGGTAATTATATACATATATATATATATACGTATACGAAATATATCTCATAATATTCATCTCAAATATCGTGAATTCAACGTAATAATTTATTTTTAATGACATAATATCTGCTTGAACTCGTGTTAATATTCGACCTCTATGAAATAAGTTGCTATAACTATAGAAGAGAATTTAACTTTTTTTTTTTATTTATTTGTATATATATATATATATATATATATATATATATATATGAATATATGTCTGTATGGAATATTTCAATATCCTATGAAACTACAATATTGCTGTTATACGTAATAAGTTTAAAGAAATGCTAGAATAATAATTTATTAATGAAGTATGCATGTTACTCACGGATGATGAATATACATACGTATTATATTTTAAATTATACAGTGTGCATAGTCGTGATTCACGTCTTACGGTTCAACTTTGATGTATACCTATTTACGTAAATTTTGATTACAATTTGTAATAATGAAAAAGCTAAAAGGACATAAAGCATAAATAAATAAATTAATAAAAATTTACATTTACATTCGCTTTTATAACAATCAGTTAGTTATAACTTTCTAGGTTGTAGTTCTTACTGTACGAGTTGTAAACAAATCATTATTTTCAGGTAATATTATTTTAATGTGGTTTCTCATTATTTAAAAAAAAAAAAAAATGCAACAGTTTAAATTGTTGTAATCGCATTTTCTACTATTTTCTCTTGCCGGAACATAAACTTTTAATTAACATAATAAATAATGCAGTAAGTAATCTAATTAATCAACAAGCCACAAAAATAGAGGTTTCTATGTAAAAATTAATGATTCATGTTAACTAATTTATAGTAAAAAAATATAAGTACATATTATACAGAAAATCATTACGAATTTAAGTTAAACTTATAGACAATAAAAAAAAATTTAATTTTGTTAATAAAAACTGTGTCAACCACAATCAAATAATATAATTTTAAAACGTATATCAGTACTTCGTGCATTTAAAATCATACAAAATAGTGTATACTTACTGTCCCATACCAATTATATTTATAACTATTTAGAATACAGTAAATGTAATGAAATATTTTTATTAAATCATTTATTAAGAATGATTAAATATTACATGTAGTATTGATTGAAAAGTTATTATTTGAAGTATTAACTATTTTTAAATATTTACAGCCCGTTTCTATTTAAAAATCATTAAACTTAGGAAATATAGTTTTGTTATATTTTTGTAATATTTAATAATATTTTAAGAACATTAACCGCAAAGTAATTTAATTTGTATTTGTATTATTTTAATGCAGTATATGTGTTTTAACGAATAATTACAATATAATATTGCTTTTTTTCCCCCAGGTTAACAGCATCCGAGTAGCGGCTGTTTTAAGTGTGCTGGTATTAGTTTTGCTGTTAATGTACTTGTTTTACTTAACAGCATATAAAAATGGAAATAGAACGTTGCACTTTAGAGGTAAAGTTTCACAAGATATAAAACTATAATCGGTGCGTAAATATAATACATTTCTTATAATATTGCGGTTGCTTCCAGATTATTCAGATGAAGACATTTCAACCGATAGACAAATGTATAGGAAAACGAATATTATGAAAGAAAATATGTTTCAACACGGCATTGACAACCCAACGCTAGAAAAAGAAGTTTCCCAAGTCAAAAAGAACATCGAATCAAAAGCGTAGCGAACAGTTTGGTACGAAAAAGGAACATAGTTCCTTGTCGAAGAAGAACTATTCGTATTGTTTTTTATTGACGAAAATACGGATAGTCGAGTTGAAAAAAAAAATGTAAAGATATAAGAACAATTGTTTAACTTTATATTTGATTCTTGTACAATATATACATAAAAAAAAATTAAATTAATTATATTTAACAAATAAAATACTGTGCAATACCCATGTGCGTTCGCGATGGCCTTGTATAGGTATATATGAAATTATACAACATATTCTTGTCGTATTATGAATTACAAAGATAAAGAGAGAGAAAAAGAGAGAGACAGAGTGATAGAGAGGGGAGTTAATAAGAAAGGTTGAGAGAAGGAAGAATAATCTATTTACCGGTCACTTAATCACGTCGTCGTCTATCAGGCACACTGTGACCGCCGAACGGAGATGCTGGGTACATGCATGTACGTGTTGACTGTTTCTCATCAGTCGGACAACAACGTATCTTGTTGCGAACGCACACATCATACAACACTAATAATGATATTATACAACGAGTCGATGATGTAACGACTACTGGAGTGACAGTACGACACGTAACGTGTTCTCTAGTCCGCGAAACTCGAGTCCTGCGTGACGTCCATCGTGCTGTCGTCTTCTTCGTCCTCTTCCTCGTCTGCTTCCATTTCGAACAGTCTTACCTTGTGCTTGCTGTGCGACAACAGCACGGCCACCTTCCTGGTGCCGCTCACCGCAAAACTCGTGGCCAACATGTTTTCCACTATCCTGCACGAATAGTCCTCTAGCCGACGACCACCCCCTCTTGCGGCACCGCTCCCGTCGTCGTCTCCTCCTATTTTGCACGTGCTCAGCCCGTCCGTCGAACAAAGGCCACGCAACCCGTTCGTGGACAGCTGCAGGAACAGCGAGTTACGGTTATCCGACGCGTCCATGGTCTCGGTGAGCACGGACAGGTGATCTTGCGAGTAGAACTGCACGTCGTGTATCGTCTGCTTTTTCTTGTTGCTCATGTAGAACACATTCGTGCTGCGGTGCATCACCTCCTGACCGTCCTCGTACGCCATAAGTTCATAGAAACTGAAATCATACGCGCCCCGGTCCACGCAGCATACCAGCAGCTTGTGGTTGGGCAGGTCGACCATGGTCACTTTGTGTATCAGATCAGTGGTGTTGTGACCGTCCACCAGCACGTTGTTGTAAAGCGAAAATGTCTTATCGAAAAACGACTTCTTCTGCGCGAAAATGTCTATTAGATCGTTTTTTACTGCGTTGAACTGTTGCGCTAACGACAACTTCTTTTGTGGTTGCACGATCAGAATGTTTTCTTCCAGACAAGGGTTGTCCTTCATCAGATCCCACCACTGATTGTGTGCTTCATAGGGAAACTCTAGATCGCTGTCCAAAAAATATTGACCCACCCGGTCCAGTTTATAATTGTTTGCTTCGGCGTTCTCACCAAGATTATAAATGTAATCGGCTAACAGGTTTAGTTCTTGTTGAGACATTTCCGTCAGTGCAGAATCATTGGACACATTCTCATCATTTAACTTCACCATCATACCATACAGCCATTTGAAAAATAGCTTGTATTTGGTCAACGATTCTTCTATAACTATTTGTACTTCGTTGCATTTCATTAAAAATTTATTGACCGATTTTATAGCCTTTTCAACACTGAGCTCAGTCAAACCAAGGCACTTATATTTTTTTAATGACATTCCAGATATTTCGATGAGCTGAAATAAAATTTGATTCGTTACTTCAGATAACTGTTTTACAACAAGTTTTTGAACATTGGTATGACTTGATTCTATGGAAAGGCCAATTTTTTTTATACCTTTATCGGTTAAATCTTTTTTGAGAAATTGTTCCATTCGATCATCTAAAATTCCATAAATAAGAAGTTCTAATAAATTAGTTGATACCATTTCAGGATCTTCTGGGCAATAAGTGCTCAATTTCAGTTGCATTTCCATCAAAGAAACATTCTCCCACGTTTCCAAAATATTTTTCATTGTTTGATCTAAATAGTCTAATGATGATAAAAGTTGATCATGTTTAAACGCTAACTCATAAACATCGTTCCAGCTTGTACTGCAATCTTGTAATTTAATAGTGACTATTTCTACCTTTCCATAAAAATATTGAATAGCTACATACAGATAACCCAAATCTGGAGGCATATGTATGTTTAACACAGTACATTTTTTTCCAAAGATATCAGACAAACTAATTGATCCACATAAAAATATGCCTAATGCTAGCATTTGTACTTCACCATTGTCCATACCAACTAGCAATAAGTTCAATGTATCTTGAACTTTAGATATAATACATTCTTCTTCAGGTGTATCATGTATGACTAAGCTTTGAAGTTTAGGAAGATGGTCCAACCCACTCATCTAAATCAGAATAAAAAATTTATAAGTTAGATAAATAGATACAATCAGATAAATTAAATAGGTTATATCATGAATTTAATAACCTCAATCAGTACTGAATCAATGGTTTCTTTTTTATCTGGTTTTTCTTGTTGAACCCATACCAAAGAAGTGACTTTATGAGGTGTTTTTTTGGTGTAGGTGACATCTTTATTTTCAACGTCCACCAATAATAAATCGTCTGAAATAAACACGCATACGTAGGGATACAAGTCTGCAACATATAAAATAACACTAAGCACAAATACTTGAATCATATGCCACAGCCAATTGTTTTCCATCGGGTCTCCAAGCCATTGCAGTCACCAATGTCTTGTCTTTAGGGGCAGCCAAAGACCAGACTCGTTGCCATGTAAGACGATGCAAAGACACCTCACCTGAAAAAGCATAAATAAATTAACAACATACATATAAATACATGTTATATATTACATTCATAGTAGTCGCAGGTTTGTCGGCTATATAATCATTCAATATGTTTAAAAATTAACTTAATTTGTTTTAAATAATAACTAAGTAATCATTATTTTTATCAAAGGAAATACCATATTTAATATATCAGAGTTTAATATTCAAAATTCTTAAGTTATCCCAAGTATAAAATATTTGAATCCAAGTAACAAGAAGTTTTATCAAATAAAAATATATGTTTGAACCTGTTTAAAAATCATGCCTACCTAGGGCAAATCCAAATTGCATAACATTGAAAGTGATTATTTCCATTAAGAATATCCTACTATGTAGGATTAATTTTTTTTTAAAAAAAATGTAAAAATATATGCTGTATTAATTTTGTCATACAAACTATCATTTGCATACAAAAATACAAAATAGTTATTGAGAAATTATTGTTATTTATTTATAAGTCTTCATTGATAATAGAAAAAATACTAAAGAAGAAAATGTGTAAACAAAATATAACTAGTCATAATATCTTAATGAAAGTAAAGGTTTTGAATAAAAATTCATTTTTACGTGTTAAGATTTATAAAATAAAATTCAAACCAAATGTAGATTTGATATTCAAAGGAAAAAAAAATTATTTTGAAGTTTTTAATTGTTATACAATAATTATCATTCTTACAGTTACGTATGGTAAGTACTTATTAAAAAATGAATTTGTAACTTTGAAAACTCATGAGTTAAGAAAAAAAAATAACTAGGAATATGAATTAAAAAAGTTTTTGTAATAACAGTAACTATTGGATATAATCATTTTTAATCCAAAGTCGATACGCATTTAATCTGAGAACGATGCTGTGCAACACTGGAATCGGTGAAAATGTTTCTTTTTTGATTTCAATACTTTCGATTGGACGGTGCTCCGGTATGTCAAACTATTCGGACCTATGTACACGAATCGCACAAGTCATTAAAGATGTTTAGCGCTAAGGTTTTACGAACCATGTTCCTTGGCAATGGCCAGCAGATCCATTTTATTGGACCATTCCATTTTTAGAACGGTGGTCGGCACGTGCCGTTCCTCCAATTGCTTCATGCCGTACAAAGCCATCTCGACCGCGAACGTATTTGGACAGGCAGATTAGCACGAAATCGCAACGCATCGAAGTGGTATCTTTTCCCGGTCTTGGCCGCAGACAAAATTTTCGAAACTGTTAAACCGTTATCACCGATTATTGTTTAATTTAAAACTGCATCGATACCGCTTATCATTGGACCGAGTCTGTGTCGTCTGGAACACGGTGTTATTGTCTGAAGCGACAAAGCGTCACTGAACACATTGAGGAAAAAATTGGTTGTCAATTGATTTTATAGTTCATAACACTGTAGTTATCTGAGACGTTTTCTACGGAAATCCGAGTTTTATTACGATTTGCAAAGATTTCGGAAATTTTTACAGTGCGTAGATATTATATTTTCCATATCGAACCCACTCAGCGGAACGCGTAACAATCCAACTACAGATTTGACACTGGTAAGTACGCTTCTAAAACCACGACTGGGTACCGTAGTACAGTCATTGTTTTTAATATTTAGTACGTTATGTTTGCCTATTCATTTGAAACAGAAATTTCGATCGTTGAATTTCTATTTGTAGATAGTTGTAAACCCATCAGGATGCCAGAAACAGAAGTCCAAGATGGCAGCCAGACCCAGCGGCTGACCAATGCAGATTTCAGACGATTACTCATGACCCCTAGGTCATCTCAGCCTGCAGCCACCCCATCGGTCACCAATGCTTCTGAAACACCGTCTTCTAAAATACCATCTTCATCAAAGTTTGAATCCGGTGGTTCACACGACAAGGCCGAATTGCGTCGTAAGAAAAAGATATTCTATGCTAAACTTAAGAAACAGGAAGAAAATAAAATGGCGGAACTAGCAGAGAAATATCGTGACAGGGCCAAAGAACGTCGAGTTGGTGCTAATCCTGATTATCAGTCTCAAGATCCTGTAGCTGTTGCTAGTGGCTATAGAGCTGTTGCACCTGATATGAAATCTGGTATGGATGCTGCTGAACGAAGACGTCAAATGATTCAGGAATCAAAGTTCTTGGGAGGAGATATGGAACATACTCACTTGGTAAAAGGTTTGGATTATGCTTTGTTACAAAAAGTTAAAAGTGAAATTACTGCAAAAGAAACTGAACAAGAAACAGAGATGGAACAGTTGGCAACTAATAAGCCAGCCAAAGAAAAGCCAAAAGAGGAGGATGAGATGCAGTTTAAAACACGATTAGGAAGAAATGTTTATAGGTAATGAAAGTTTTTTATTAAAAGTTAAATATTACATTTTAATAATTGTTATTTTTTTTTTAGAGTGGCACTGGCTGAAAATGAGATGGTTCAAAATCCATTATTTGCTCCTGGACGTATGGCTTATATAATTGATCTCACTGAAGATATAACAGATACTGATATTCCAACTACATTAATTCGTAGTAAATCTGATGTGCCTAGCATGGACGATAGACCGACATTAACCACAAATGATATTGTTATAAATAAATTGGCACAAATACTATCTTATTTACGAACTGGACCAAAACATTTAAAAAAATCAAAAAGGCGTGACAAACAAGTTTTTGATGATAACATTTACCCTGAATTACCAGATTATGAACCGTCTACTCATAAACGTAGTGAAGAGACTACTAAAAAACAATCAAATTATTTTAAAAATTCAAAAGATGAGGAGCAAGAAGTTGAAAAAGAACATCATAAAAGAGATGAAATGGGATGGGTAAATATTTTTACATTAATAGTTTTATTTAAAATATTCATGTCTAACAAATTTGCCTGATTGACATTCAAGTAGATCTTATTTAAATCGATGATTGCAGAAGTGCCACAAGTCACATTTTTTATGAAATTGAGATATTATTTAAAACACATACAAGTCATGTGTTTCTATGCATTAAGTGTAAAAATACTGATTATTATTTATTTATCTAATAGAAAAAGTATAAATAAAGACGTTTTTACATGCATATACACATGACTATTATACATTTTTACTAATATCTCAATTTCATAAAATATGTGACTCGTGACGTTTCTGCAATCATAGATTAATTTATTGTCTGAATGTAATTTAATTTTAATCTAGTAGAAAGTTTATTTATTAACAAGGCTGAAATTTTAGTTGAATATCTAACATATATTACTTAATGGATTTGAAATCTGTTACGAATACATTTTAATACTGAATACATTGGCAGTATATATTTTTAGTGTACGCATACAAATAGTTTTAATCATTTTTGTTAGTAAATCAAGAATGGGTACCTAAAATAAAATTAAAACTATAATTGTATAATTGTTCTTACTAGTTTTGCTATCATAGCTTTTATTACTAAAAATGTATGATATGTTTAGTAAAATTTAATTGATACATTTCAATTTTTAATTGCTATTTTGTTTTTTAAAAGTTCTTAGTCATGTATATATTAGGAAATAATATTAATTTGATAATATATTTTTAAATAATTTATTTAATCACAAGTTACAATTTGTTTAAATTAAGTTTAATTGATAATTATTTAAATTATATTAAATTAAATTATTTTAATGGCTTATTTGTTTTAGGAGGCTTTGAGCAAAACTAAATTTCAGCGTAAAAACCAAATGGGTTTATTATCGCGATTGGCAGCTGAACCAACTGGTTATGCTGAATGTTATCCTGGTTTGGATGAAATGCATGATGCAATTGAGGACTCTGATGATGAAGCAGATTATACAAAAATGGATTTGGGTAATAAGAAAGGGCCAGTTGGTCGTTGGGATTTCGACACACCCGAAGAGTATGGTACGTATATGAGCAATAAAGAAGCATTACCAAAAGCAGCTTTCCAATATGGAGTTAAAATGACTGATGGTCGACGGACACGCAAACATAACAAAGAAAAAAATGAAAAAGCCGAACTTGATCGTGAATGGAATAAAATTCAAAATATTATACAAAAACGTAAAGCACCATCTGGTAAGGATGAAGGATCATCGTTTAAGGTTCCAAAATATTAATAATTTTTAATTATTCACTTATACTTGTAATTATAATTTTAGTATTAGAAAATCACAGTTTATTGTAATAAATTAAAAAAATAAATGCAAATATTCAGTTATTTCTAAATCAAATTTTGTATTTTAATTGTATCCATTTTTTAACTCCTTTCAATGACATTAGTACTGGGATCATAACAGGTAAGAATAAAGGAATATATACAGCATATTTTTGATCATCTGGAAAATAGAGCAATGCTAATAATGATGGATGAGTAAATGCAAACTCTGATGTTTCAAATGCTATTTTACTGAATTTTAATGCTTCTTCCAACTGTCCTTTTTCTAGACATTGAAGTACATTAATAGCTGCTTCTACAGACTCGGTTACAGCTTTTCCAACTTCTTCGATAATCACAATATTACTGATTTCGCCCAAAAGTCTTGCTAACGAAGTTAAAGTAATACGTGCATTGGTGTATTGTTCAACAATTTTTAGTCTGTACATTGAATCTAATTGCCAGGTTCGTAAAGTGGAAGATCTGTGTGGCATCAGTAAAACATACTTTGACACATCTGGCACACCAATTAATGAATGAAATTGTGTAACAATAGGAGACATAATACTGAGATCATCAGGTATGAAGCTTTCTGTGGATTCATTGCACCTAATTTGATCAGCATTTAAAAATTGTACACCACCCCATCGAGCTGACATCATAGCGGTAGTGAGTTGGTTGTTTTCATGGAAATATAAAGGTATAAAAGAACAAGGCGTTACGTATACGACAAAATGTATACATGGATCACGAGACACTCCAGATCCTAAAATTAGAAGATAATTCAAATTATAATGATTTAAAATAGTTACTAAATTTTAAAACAATTACCTAATTTTTTTTCAAGTGGAGTAATTATGTATTGAGCTTGGTTTTTGTCTAGTACAAATGTACCATTTAAGTTTACAGGCTTCTGAATCAAATCAATTAAATATAACCATTGAGATTGCACTGAAAAGTTTGCAATCAGTTGTAACTGATTTAGCAATGGTTGTAAATAACCTAAAAATGTATTTATTTTATCATATAATAATAAATGTTTCATGAATTATTCAACACTAACGGTTTAAAGGTATTTCTGGCTTCCAAGAAACTCGCAGTTTGTCTGGTTCTGGATTCACAACTGTAAGAAGTACATTGTAATTCGATGATGGTCTAACTCTACGCTGTCGTTCAGCTACTACTTGTGCATCTTCAGAATGTTTACCAGGATTCAACATAGATATCATCGAATCAGATAATGCATCAGTTTGTAATAGTCTCTCTAAAGAGTCCATCAAAATTGAAATATCTAAAAAATGTACAATAATATTTTACAAATGAATAATTAACAATTAATATTATAATGTACTTGAAAAATAATATCATAGAACAGAAAAATTAAATATTTACAAATAGTTTCAATTATTTTTAAAAAAAATTAATTTTATTCGAATAGCATTATTGTACAATAAACATAGATTTTTAGTCTATGATAAAACTTGATGATGAACTGGAATGACTTGTTTTATTGATTGTGCATACATTTTGCAAGTATTATTTTTATTAGTATTATTTACCTGTAGCAGGAGGAAAATATACATTACGCCCAAGACCAGCTACAATGCTGTCAACATTAGTTGTTTCAATAAGCTGTAATGATCCTAATGGTGTTATAGCAGTTTCAAGTTTTTCAAAGGTATCATCGGAGTGGATGAGAGTAGAAGTTTGAGCTTTGACACTGAACATGGCTATAAAAGGGAAATGATTAATTTACTATATGAAATACATTTGTTCGTATTTATTGGATAGTATTACTTGAATTGAACTTTGTATAAATGTGTTCGATGATACGTTCAGTGTCAGATGGATTTTTGGTGAAAACAAATATGTCAGTAGCAATCACTATATCCATGCTACTTAATTCTGAGATCTGTGAGTATGGTAATGGATGCCTTTGCACTTCTGTCATACGCCACCATAGTGGTATGCCGATGACTAATAGTATAAATGCATAGACTGCTGCTGACAAATTTCTTAGGTCCTCTATGAAATAAAAACATATTTGTAAAAAATACATTCGTTAACAGTCTATAATGGAAAATACTACCATCATCTTCTTTGTCAATTATTTCCCAAATTTCATCACTATCGTTCGTAGCAGAAGTCTTAACAGTAACAGAGGACTCGTTGTCTTTTTCAATTACATCCATTCTGTAAGGTCATGAAAAATGGGATTCTCAAATCATGAACAATTTAAAAATATTTTAATAAAATGGGTACTTGAGCGGCTAAGAAAACCAAGATTTCCCGTTTCTTATTTTAACGTTTAGACAGGTGGTTATTTTACGGTTAACATTAAAAAACAAATGTCTTAAAGTATGCGGAACCCTATAATGATGGCCAAACGTAAATAAGATGATTAATACATTATAAAAATGTAAGTATTTTGTTGCAAATCAGATATACAACACTAAAATAAATCGAATTCGTTGTCTTATCTCGCGCTTAAGGTGTGATAAGGGAACTATTATATTCCGTGCGGAATACGAGAGACGCTTAATTATCAAGTTCGAATGCCGCGTTTGAGCTTATCAGTTATCACACAATCGTTTCTCCGGAATAAAAACGTTTTCAAAGCCCGTAGTTCGAGTTGTTGAACGTTCAGATTCGTGTTTGTTTCGTTGTTTTTGTTGTGTAGTGAAAATAATTTGAAAAAATGAATAAGAGAAAATTAGAAGAAGAAATTTTTCAACAGAACAAATTTGAAAAGTTGAACAACATAGCAGATTCTGAAGACGACGACGACGACGACAGCGTTGACGAAAACAACTATGATGTCATGCAAGAGCAAGATATTGAAGGTAACAACGACACATAATTGGACTTATTACTTTGAATACGTGTACATGTTAAATTTTTCTTTTATAAAAAAATAAGAAACTTCAAACTATGGTGTTTTATTTATTTTTCGATGTGAAAAACTAACAAATGTCTGCATTCAAGTGTTAGATGAAATAATAATTATATTTTCTCTAATGAAACTGTACATAATGTTATATATATATATATATATATATATATATATATATATATATATACTATTATTATCACAGCTTTGTTAAGTAAACTGCAAAAAGGCACAGTATACGTAATCAATATTAATATACATAATTTGATTTAAAGAATATAAAAATTTAGCTTAACATCAAAATTAAATTATCTAATAAAAATGAGGTTTGAAAAAAAAAAGAAATAGTCTGAACAAAATAAATTTAAATTCGAATCTAAGAGAAAAAAATAAAATGAATAAATAGAGAAATCGATAAAATACAATCAACGTTAATATGCATAAGATAATAATAGCTTTATGAATACAAGTGAAAATTTATAATATTCAGTATATCTTTTAAGATTGACAAACATATTTTCGTTAAATCAGCATTACTTAATCCGTGGGTTTTGAAGACATTTTTGAGAAGACCAGAGGTTGTACTATGAGCTTTGAACCATAGATCTGTAACTAGATATGATAGTTATATATATTTTTTATATCTTTAACCTCAGAATATTTTGTTTATATTTTTTTTATGAAATGATATTGAAAAGTTCTCAATATATAAAGTGTAATTTTCAGACCTAGAACTTACGTTTTTTTTTTTTTATTTTAACAAAGGCCAAGAAGATGGAGTTGTTGGACAAGATGGTGAGATACGAATTACACCTTTCAATATGCAGGAAGAACTCGAAGAAGGTCACTTTGATAAACAAGGAATGTACCATTGGAAAAAAGAAAAAGATGTTCAAGACAATTGGTTAGAGAATATCGATTGGTGTAAAGTAAGTAAATGATATATTTTAATTTTACTATTTAGTCAGTCGTATAAATTGTTTGTATAATTATTGATTTGTTGTATTGTGTTTAGATTAAAGATATGTCTAAAGAAAAGAAGAATAATGATGAAAATGCAGAGGACGATGAGGAATTTAATGTAATTGCTGCCTATAAAGAAATAATAAGTATGATGGAACCCAAAGAAACCATCGCAAAAGCTCTAAGACGTTTAGGTGGCAATAAAAGACTTTCAACTGCTGAAAGATGGAAAATGAAAAAGGCTGGAATAAGTACTGAAGGCGGATCATCTGAAAAAGTCACTAGACTTACAGAGATTGCTAATCAGATTTTAACTACTGATGGTAATATGGATGTTTATCAAGAAACTTATGAACACATTTCAAATATTGTAAGTTGATTTTGTGTAATTTAATATATCTTAATAAGTAATGACTAATAACTTAGGTATGTTTTATAAATAATTCTTATTTATATATTTTATTTTATTTATAATTTAAAATTACTTAATAATTATATAGCGTCTGTTGTGGTAAAAAACTAAGTAAAAAAAAAAAAAAATGCAGCATCACATTCATGCTTATCTATCTTAAACCATAGTTTTTATTATTTTTAATACAAAGCGTTTAAAACTTATGTTACTAAAAATGTAATATAAAATAATGTTTTAATTAATAAAGTTTATGTATTATTAAAATAAACTTTTTAAGTTATAATTCATAACTATCAGTATATTTGTAAAAATATTCTAATTTTAAACATAAAATAATATTAAGTGGTACATTTGGAACATTTCTCAATTATTTCGGTTGGAGCGTTGTATTGAAAAAATCAACCACATTACTAATAATTTCTTATATTTGAATTCATATTTATATACCAGTTATACCACAATACATTTCAATAGTTATAATAATACAAATTACCCATTAACAATTAGATCTAGTTTATCAAACCATATGCAGCGGGGTAGACTATATTTCTCTACTCCATATTAGAAAATAAAGATAAAAAAATATCAATTGACGTTCCAGTTCAATGTTTTGACAGGTAGAGAGTATTTTTGTATCTTTTGTCTTATGCGGTCCTCCAATTATTTTTTGGACTTTGGCCAATGATATTTAATAGCTTATAAAAATATTGATTAACAATTATTTATCTTGGAGTGTATAGTCTCTCGAGGTGAGAATTGCAGTGATAAGTTTGTTCTTTACATATTGAATAATATATACATAACAAATAGGCACAAAACGAGTTTTCTAAATTCATAACTATAATAAGCATACAATTCTGTAATTTTATAGTAGAGATTTCAATAATGAAATGTTTTTTATTGGACTCATATTTTGTAATTAACTTTTAGATTTCAAAATCTAATAAAAAAGAACAGCCTTCAACTTCCATGGCATCAGATTTAGATATGTATGCTGATGACTTCGATTTAAAGGAAAAAGAAAAATTAGAAAACACAATCCAAAATTCTGAAGAAGGAGCAGAAGAGCTAGAAGATACAGGTAAAATAATATTATTTTTTGAGTTATAAATATTGTCACTGAATTATTAAAAATTGAATCACATATTTAGGAGAGTCATTACAGTGGGAATACAAATTTTCATTGGAAAGCAATGAAGTATTTGGCCCTTATAACACTGAGCAAATGCAGAAATGGAAAGAAGAAAATAAATTTAATGAACCAATTTGGGTACGTAAGTGTAATTCAAACAGTGAATTTCATTCATTTAAACGTGTGGACTTTGAACTATATTTATAAATTTTTTTTTCTTTTGTGTTTATTTCATTCACACTGTATAAAATAAGTGTATTTGAATACATAATAGTAATAACTGATTGTTAATGCTAATAAAATTCTTCCGATTTGTAATAATGACTGTTCATTATTATTTAATAATTTTAAGTATTAAGAATATAATTTATAATAATTAAATAGTTTTCATTTTTGTAAACTATAGAATAGTTTAATAAAAAATAATAGACATTAAAATAAGTATACACAAGGTTTAAAAAAATGTTATTATTTTATTACTATTATGAAACAAGTTTAATGTATTATAAATTACATTTATAATTGAGAACACGGACTTTTAATGTATACATTTTAGCTTTATTAATATGTAAACCAATTTAAATGATAAGCCGATAAAATTGTCTTTTAAAATTGAAAAGTAGTGAATATAAAATCATGTAAAACAAAATAAAAACAATGACATTAGTCAAATTAAGTATGAGAATATTAATATTAATAAAATATTTTTAAATTAAAATACTTCTGCAGACAAATTATTTTTATGTAAAGTAAGGTTATAAATAACACATATCCACTGACAGTCAACAATTATTTATAAAATACATGCATTCTACCCGACTATGTCTCAAGCCGGCAAAGATTATTGGATAACTCATTTAACTAATTTTTACTTACTCATTTATTAGTAACAAATAGTTGAACAGTATAATAGTTATGATTCATTCCAGTTAAATGAAGTAATAACAGTTAATTGAACTTGTATACCTCTCATGCAGTAAACTTTAAATATGTAAAAATATTTTCCAACATTTATTTAAATATTATGTTCATTGAAAATTAACATAGAAGACCATAGTTAAGAAAAATGTATGTATTGAAAGTGGATTTTTCTAAACTATGTGGGTATGAAATATGATTTATTCTCTCTTTTCGTAATGAAAAGTCTGAATTAAATTAAATTTTTATTTTTTATAAGTATATCGAAACAAAAATTATTTTCACGTTACATGTGGTAGGCATAGGAAGTATATTTCATCAAAATTTAAACTGTCATGATGTTTTTCAGACAAAACATTCTTTAGTCTACATATATATTTCTCAATAAATACAAATAACTAATAATAAATAATTGTATTCGCTCTCAAATGTTTACCAAAACATATTTTAACACTACAATTTATTAAAATAAAGATAAATTAGTCTTTGAATTTTTCGTGTTTATTTTGATGTTGCAATGTAATTATACTGGATTGCTTGATTTTCAATCAATCGATATTGTATTTTTAATTAAACTTAATTATTGTTTTATGAAATTGACTAACTTTCCAAATATTTTGTGTAAACTATCAAAATGTAATAATGCCGACACGTAGGCGAATAAAACACGTGGCCGTTGTGTGCAATTTAATATAAAACGAATAATTAATGATCCGTTCGCGATTAAGGGTAAACGATTAATAATGATATTATTATAAGTAGTTATAATTTATAATAAAAGGGCATGCCTATTTCGATATTAACGTTGGGATCCATCTTTGTACACGGTATACACGAATGTAATAAGAATTGCATAAGTACCAACGCCGTTGTAGCAATACCTACCGTGTACACGATCTGAGAACGATCTGCAACAAGTACAGGGTCTCGATTCGGATTTAGTCACCTAATCAAAATCCAAAGTTGACTGTCGAAAATCATATTCGACGTTGGAAAAACGCCCATCGGTGCTGTAGGTACCGCGGATAAGACGAAAATTTACTATACTTACCATGCGCACAGCATTTAATGTTGATCACCTGGTGAGAGGTCTTTTAGATTATGAAATTACAAAAATTCGTTTTCGCATAAATGTTATCCGATTGCATAATTCGAACGGGCTCGGCTAATTACTTTTATGCGGGCGTGTTGTAGTGATTGAAAATGTGTCGTGTGTGCGTTTAAATCAGTCGGTCTATGTAAATTCGAATATTTTTTTTTTTTTACGACCGTAACGATCATAAATAATTTATTCTGTGCCATTCATGTACGGAGAGAGATAACACGTGGCGTTGTTGTTGCGCTGTGCGCGCGATATCATGATCGTACAGTATGATATGTACGAGGTAGTCGAAGGTTGGCGTTTGTTTTTTTTTTATTGGGGATATGCGCGAGGCAAACAAGAGGGATAATGGATTTTACAGATTAAAACAACGATGTACAAAAATTGATGCAATTTAATAATGTAACTCAGTCACGCGCACGAGCACGTCGGAAACTGTTCACAAATCGATTTGTACACAAAATTAATTTATTACAAACGTATTTAATACAGACAAAGTACAATAATGATGTATAACATATTGAGCGTTTTGAAATAAGGGTACTACAACAACAGTAGTGTATGATATAATATATTATATAATAACATCAATGAAACTTAATAATAAACTTAATAAATACATAATAATAATAATAATAATAATAATAATAATAAAAGGTTTACAAAAAACGTTTAGGTAATATATAGATATATACGTATGGTATAAACTTACGCCGAGGAAAGAGAATTTTGTGACAACGTGGTGGGTACACGGGAGATTTAAACGGTATTCCAAACAAAACCGGACACAACCGTTTGGTAAACGCGTCGGCGGCAGCGATCCTTCGTCTCCGATAACCTTTCGTGCATTTGACGCGATGCATCAGCTGTAACCGTGTTCATCGGTCGACACAGGAAAGCTACACGAGAATCACACGTAATGCGCGATACTATATGTAAATTTGTGCGGTCCAACGTTGGCCTGCTCATTTATCTGCATAACATTATTGTGTCCGGTTTTGTTTGCGTCGAAATGAACGTATCGCTAGGTGCCTACAGTCTACATACTCTTACGGTTGCACTGGGCGGTCTTGCGATATCGGGACTGTGCTAAGGAAAAGCGCGAGCAGTGTCTGCCGCAGGAGCGGAGTACCGAAGCAATTGTTCGGTCCTGTATAGCAGTGAGAAAAAAATAATGAAAAAAAAAAACGCCCAACAAGGATAGAACGCTCATCACTCGCGTGTTTCCCTAGACATAGTCTAACGTGATTGGTTCACGTCAAAAGTATCACCCCGTACACGCGTATACATATTGTATTTCACGACAAAATTAAAATACGTTCGTCGCAGTGCGACGCGCGTTTACACGGCGGGACGGTAAAGCATTTCACCATTAAATGTGAACATCTGACATTATTACAATTATTACGAAAAACTATTCGCGCTCGTGAGCGCATATCATTATGTGGTTCACCTGTCTAAAACCTATGGGTACGTTATAAAATAATACAATATCGATTTTACACGCGTAATGTGTTCGTAGGCCTCGAGTACGTAATAATGTAACGTTGTGTATAGAGTGGTTGTCACGAATATTCGATGGCCTCGTCAAATATATATTTATATATTACTATCAGATTATTGTAAATCTGAAGTGCGTAGTATTCTAATGTTACTATTCTCTCTCTCTCTCTATATATATATATATATATTTGCATATTTATATATATATATACATCTTTCATCGAATGGTTTTTTTTTACGTACACGATAACACGTCAATAGAAGTTATCGTATCAGCACAAAAAAAAAGTAAAAAAAAATATGTTAAAAAAAATATATAATATTTTCTATACACAGATATACCAGTAGATTACTCGTTTAACAGGGGAAGGGGTGGATGAATAAAAATTGAACTAGGTATATAAATTAAAAATTGAAGAAAAAAGAACACTAGCCGATAATAATAACAGTAAATATCATGTTATTATAGGCATGGTATTTCGAAAAACCAGAAATCCAGTCAATCCGTGCATAAATTTTAATGCTACGGAATTATTTCGATCGAATTGTTACGATAATGATTGTTGTTGAATTCGATTATTGTCGTTTCTTCGTTTTTGACAGTACAATAGTAATCGTTTTATGATTTAACGTTAAAATATAAAAAAATATTGTCGTTTTCATTCATTTCTACGAATCGACCGAATGATATTGAATTATTATTCAACCCTTCAACGTTTTACGATGTCGTACTGGCAGCAATCCGGCGCACAATTACAATACACGAAAATGAAACGCAATCCGAAACGTCTGCTGCTTCATGACGACGATTATAAGTTATCGTAATTATTATTATTATTTTCAATTATCTATACCTACCGTACGTATTATGTGTACATAACAATAATGATTGCTGCGCGATCAGTTAAAAAAAAAAAAAATTTTACAAAACAAAAAAAAATATGTTTTCGCCGTTTAACATGCATAGCATTGTACCAATCCTACTTCGTCGCAGTTCATACACTTCAAGGCGATCATTTCGGTGGTGAAGTGATTTCTATGCACCGATTTCTTGCTACCGTTGCACATGGGACACGGCAGAAGCCTGTATCCCCCACACACTTGGCACGTCGTACACGCGTCCGGACTCTGGAACAACAATAACAAAATATAACGCGATACTGTCATGTTAAATGTGTACAAGTAAAACAACACACACACACACGCGTAAGAAATCGTCTTATTATTATTGAATAAGACTTGCAACGGATATGACTACCAAACAATGACGACCTCCTCCCCCCCAATACAGATATGTCGTACCTAACAGGAGTTTTATCTGATCTGAACGGATTTTTAGTTTGACTGAAAAATTATGTTTTACCGTGGTACAAATCACAGTAGCAGTGCTGGATTAAGGGTCGTGCCGCCCTGGAGCAAATAACATTTACCCCTCTCCCCCTCAAAGAAATAAAGTTTAAGTGAAACCAAAAAAAAAAAAATTCCTGGTTTCTATGTATAAATTAAAAAAATAAAATACTATTATAAAATATAGGTACTTAATATAATAATTAATCTAATTAAACTAAAAAGTATAAATAGGTATATATGTTAAATATATAATGTGTTATATATATTTAATATCACAGAATAGTTTTGCTAAGAATTTTTTTAAACTAATGGAAAATACTGGCAAAATACAATTATAATATTAATAAATTGGTTCAAAATATACAGGTAATAATTACTTTAATATTAAAAAATAATAATAAAAAAATTATTTAAATGAATTAAAAAATTAATTATTTAAAATTATTTTTAATATTAACGCCAATTAAAAAAAAAAAAACTATAACCATTTAACTATGTATATATTATATATTATTATTTTTTTTATAATATTATTTATTTTTCTTTAATTATATTTTTTTATGGATTTAATAGTTACAAGTTTTTATGTTAGTTCTTCTCACTTCATTTCCTCATCCAAATAATGGTTGTTTCATTGATAAATTGGACATTTCTTCTTGTATTAATGACGATCTTAAATAGTTTTTTGAGGCTATTTTATTTATGTCGCCCCACTAAATTAGCCGTTCTGGAACAAATGCTCCTTTTTCACCTAGGGTAATCCGGCTCTGCGCAGTAGGAATTATTTTTGATGTTGATTTTTAAATATGAGAGGCAACTCGCGTGTAGCCGATATCATATTATATTCTACGAAGAAGAGCGCGGTATAAGTTGAACTGATTATCATATCGTTCGGTGAATACATTTAATAAACGGATTCATGTGTCTGACACAAGTCTTTTCGGATTTCGATGTAAGCACGTACGAACATATCCATTTAAGCGTAACCGTTCAAGGAGAATAGCAAATTATGTGACGGCGTATTTTATTTTAAGAACAGTGATGGACATTAAGGTTATCAATAGGAGGAAATATTTTGGTAGCTACCACTTTCTCGAAATCGCATAGAAAACATTTAGGTACTAGTATATTATCGTTGTAAATGTATATAACTATTTTTATTTCATTTGCTTAGCCTGGTTGAATTTTAACTGAAAAATGTGTATTTTAATTGGGAAGTGTTTAAAACTATGATTAACGATCGTTTTTATCTGTCAAACACCATTTATTATTATAATATTTAATCCTTTATACTTTAAAAATAGAAAACTCGTATTTTAATAATAAATAAATTTTTAAATTTTTAAAGATTAAAACAGTGAAATTGAAAAATAACAAAATGTTGATGAGTAGAGAAATGTAGAAATAGTGTTACAGAAATAATGTAGAATAGACGGTGAACAATCATAATACAAAATGTAGAAGGCAGAACATTATATTTGTATTGTTATTTTATACGTAATGATTAATATTGTGTATTACTATACATTTTTGTAGTTATTTGTCAATTAGCGGATAAGAAGTAGAAGTGTAGTGCGGGACACGTACACATACTAATAACCATTCACTGCGCACAGTCACAAGTCACGCACGCACGCGCTTTAAATATTGCCTATACCCAACTTCTTAAATATACACCACCACCGATCCTCTTAACTAATAATTTATAACGAAAATAAGAAATTATTTTTATTGTTATTAAATTTGATCAGTATTCGAGGAAATGACGAATTATTGAAAACACGATTAGAAATAATTGGAATTAATATTACAAAATAATATAATATAATTGTTTCATACTTAACAATTATTAAACAATTATTTTTTTCCCCCAAAATCGATGAAAAAGTCGAAAGTTGTCTTGCTCATAGAATCATTTATGATTTATGTCCATAAAATCAAAATAGTCTCTTCTACTTAGGTATCATACTATCATCTGATCTTACATTTTCTGAACATATATCATATATTCATAATAAATCGATGGGCATGTTAGGGTTTATTAGGAGACAATTTTGGAACTTCAATAATATTCAATGTCTCAGAACTTTGTATTGTTCGCTAGTTCGATCAAATATTGAGTAAGGGTCCATATTATGGAACCCATCGTATTCTGGTCATATAAATAGTTTAAATAAAATACAATCCTACTTTTTAAGATATTTGTCAAATAAATTTGCTATTCATTGTACAATTGATGAACTTGCGTCAAATTTAGGTTTAAACACCCTGTCTTCTAGAAGAAAATTTATTGATATTTCTTTTATTTACAAAACATTAAATGATCAAATTAACTGTCCTGAAATTTTGGGGAAAATAGGTTGGTTGGTCCCTAATTTTTATTCAAGATCTAAATTAACTTTTAATGAGCCATTTCACTCACAACTATATTGTTTTAATGGACCTATATGTTGTATGCTTCGAAGCTGTAATGAAATTAATTTCGATTTTAATTTTGATGAAGAATCTAAACTTCGGCTTTTATGTATAAGTTTCAAATAGTAAATCACCAAATTATATTATGTACAACTCTAATATAAATAAGTAATTGTAAATAATTAAAATTATATATAATTGTTTGTTTTTAAAATACACATAACATAAAAATAAGTAATTAAAATTAAATACTACTATTAGATATTATTATTTATTATTTATTACTATCATCATTATCATTATAACTTATATTTATAATTTTTGTAAAACATGCTGAAACTCAATTGCTCTATAAGGGCGTTAATAAACTATTATTATTATTATTATTATAATACACCTCTACTTTGAATCAAATACACTAATAATTGCTGAAAGTCATTACGGACTAAGGTCGATATCATTTTGATTGGAAGTACGTTTTTATTTTCGTTCGTATATTGTTTGATTTTTCCGTACTAGACATTGTGTACTTAACTAATGTCTTATACAGCATATCATTTCATTACTGCTGTAAACTTGTAGTCTGTTGGTAATACGTTAGTTGTTGTTACTGTACCTTTACAATGAGTGACATTGAAGATGTAGTGGACCAAAGCGAGAGTGTGAATAAAATAGAAGATGTAATAGGAACATACAAAGTTAATTATGCTGGTAAATTGATTCATCAACTACAAGTAAAATAATATAAATATAATATTTTAAAATGCAAAGTTTTAAACTAGTACCTATAATAAAAATTAAATTGTTTGATTGTTTTATATTATTAATATACTATACTATAGTATATTAATAATATATATATATATAATATATATATTAATATTATATTACTATATTATATATTGGACTTAAGTTTCATCTTAGAAGTCATAGCAAAAAACCTACACAGCTACAACAGGTAGATATTTAATTTTTTTTTTAGATTTTGTGAAAATAGCAAGAGTCTTGCAAGAGTCTTGCGCAAGACCAAGACCAAGATTTTGAAAATCTTGGCTTTTGTCTTGTTTTAATCATCACTAATCTGGAGTTATGAGTGTCTCATCTGAAGTCTCATTTTAACGTTTTAATATTTGTATACGGTCTCGCGCCGTTAGAAAAAATGTCAATCGCCCGAGAAATATATTGCTATGTAATGCTTTAATACATGTACACGCATAATTAATTAGAAGACTGAATGAGGGAGGGCTTAAAAATATGATGTTGTTTGGGAGACAATGTTTGAATCGATCGGTGTATAATTCGATGTCGTGGGTTGCATAGTATAAAAGTAAAAAGAAAGTTTTTCACTCTTTGTTTTAATAGAGAGCGAGTGAGTGCGCTTTTAGTATCCAAGTAAAATATCAGTAATAACAATACTATTGTAATTTAACGATGTAGTGTCGAATCTTATAGCAAATCCTCATCCTGTTTGCTTCTATCCCTATCAACAAATGACCACAGTTTTTTCTGATTTCTACGCACCTGTACTCACCGCAAAACCACAAATGATCTGTAGATAAACTACGTCTCATTTTTCCGTGTAAAAAACAATAATTATCCCATCGATAATCGTTAAACCACAGTTTACTGATGTACGAGCAGATATGAAAAAATTGTTACCCATACTCACGCAGTCACGTCATTCCGTTGGTCATACATACATATTATTTCCCTTTCATACGAATCGTATTTTTGTTCGTTACACAATAATGATACATAATATGTAACACCCCAACTCGCATTATTCTCTTTGCAGAATCGTTGATATTTTCCTCGTTTTCTTATTCCCACAATGTCACTTCTAAATATTGTCTACCTGCACGTTTCCTTTCAAACTTGTACTCTCATAATTTTCTATATTTTGTATTTTCGTCTTTGACGTTGTTTATTATCGATGGAACATGCGATTTTACATTACAGTAATAATATCGAAATTTAGACAATATTGCTGTTGTTATCTCTCGGACTTTATTTAAGTTATTAAGTTCGTAACAGTACAACGTTTTGTGTCTTCACGTTGAACTTTTATCACGATTTTTCGGTTACAGTGGCCGATTAATCAGGTCAATAAAATATTTTTACAGCCGATTTATATTCACCAATAATATAAACGAACACGATTAGAGGTTATTTTATAGCAAAATTACACATACGTCCTCGACATGTTCATCAATATCGATTTTTTCGGAACATGGTAGTTACTCTGAGCTGTAGACGCCGTTCGGCATGCCATTATACATACACACGTGCGCACACGTTTCACTTCTTACGGAATTGAACTCTAGCCAGAAATTATCGTACGCGTTTTAATAGACTGGACAATTGACGATTTCTTTCTATTTCGTCTTATTACCGAAAATACGAGCGTGATTAACGGCAATGTCCGCTGCACTCGGTGTATGTTATTAAATCCACACGTTGAGCTTAATTCTGATATTGGTTTTAATAAGTGAACGAAAAGATAAAACGACACGGAGGACATCTTTTATTGGTTACATTTTTTTTTTTTAAATTATTTTTATAAATTTAATGGATTTTCAACTCATTTTTTTCAACAGACTACAATAGACTACAATATACTCGTAATATATCGAACTTCAACGTCTCACATTGTTCGAGCCCCTTGAAATAGTTTTTACCTTTACATCCAATAGCGTAATTTATGAAAACTCAATAATCCGTAGTGGTCGGACTCTCGAACTTTTTATTGTTCCATTGATGTTCACAACCAACGATAACCTACTGAATTATAATACTCTGCGAAGCGTGTTATTCGTTTTGGAAATCACGCATTTGAGCGTTTCGAGTATAATTATATTTGTGTATTAGATTTCAAATCTTGTGAGTCTAGTACTACAACTCAACCATATGATGCCTATGATGTCGTACAATATATTTGGCAATAATTTTTATATTTTATGGTGCGTCGAAAGTACAGCAAAATATTAATATCCGGTTATACGCTTTTTGATTGCCAAACAATGAGAGTTTCCCTCCCCCTCCCCCCTCCCCACTCGTAAACCGAGACGTCCATATTATAAACGCTCTGAGAGGATAAGTTTATATATGGTATTGTTTAAAATTATTAGGTGTGAACGTTTCTAGATTTCAAAATAAATAAGTGTCCCAAGTCCTAAATCTGTCCTCGTGAAATTGAATTATTAAAATGTATAGACATGTGATGTATGTTGAAACACTATTAATATTATTATTATTGATTATTCGATCAAAGTTATGACACTATTGAAAGATTAATGATATCTGTAAATACGTATACACGATTTTAATACATGCATTATAGTTGTGTTGTAGCATAACGTTATCATATTACTTATTTTGTAATATATTCGTTTGTCGTGTGTTACGTATAAGATTCTATACATGAATACCAGTATTTTAATTATTTTTAAGCGTTTTATATTGTAACCATTTGTGATTGACATTTCGGAATCAACGATTAATGTATCAGTACCATAGGAAATCGTAATATATGAGTACCTACCTACACGGTTGATTTTGTATATTATTGTTATCCACAGGCGGCAGTAAAATATTATTAAAATCTACGCGTGGATTCTTAAAAAAATAAAATTTAATTAAAACATTATGGGTCGTTCCCCTTTAGAAAAATAGTTATAAAGTGTTGTGTTAATAAAACGGTATCACATATGCGACTATAATGGATAAACAAAATTTTCTATTTCAATGTTTAATAATTATGTTGTGTATTATAATGCCGGCGGTGCATTGTTGCTAGACTACCTATATATTACGTTTTGAATTATTTCGTAAAATAAATTGTACTCGTAACATAATGGATTAGAAAGTGTGATATAGATTTTATTGAAAAAAATAAAAAAAAATACATAAAATTCCTTATAATATAATATTCAAGCAAATTGAAAATACGTCGATCATACCGTTATTGTAAAATAAGAACAATATAATGACCACTTCGAATAATGCCCATAATATAGCCAGCGAATTCCAATGAAATTTAAAATATTATTAAAAAGAAAAAATATAACCGGCGAGATAGTCGATGGAATTTGTTTAAAAATCAATGCACTTACTCGTAAGTATCTGCGTGGGATTTCAAAATAAACAATAATTTTGTTTTTTTTTATATACATGTGATATAGTTTAAGATATTCTTCGTCTAGGCATTTAAAAAAAAAACAACTGCCTCTTCTAAACCAGTAAGAGCGTTTAAAATCGATACACGTATCGCAATGGCATGGTAATTATTATGATTTAGTCGATAATTATTTTGTAGAACTGGTAAAAAGAAATTATTGGTTTCATATGTTCGGAGAAAAAATAATTGTCCCCCCGGATACTTTATATCCAATATATATATACAATATACTTTAGACTATCACGAGAACACCCAACGACTGATTTCAAAACGTTAAACAATCGTTTGCGGTAACGCCAAGTCTAGAAATAATATTCTAAATTTTGTTTGTTCAGTGATTCGTTTTTGTTCTGTTATATACTTGTAAGTATAATTAGATAACATCGTGACTTGGGTTGTGAAAAGTGAAAACATTTAGCATTGTACAAATTTGAAACATTTACATAATCTACACATATATTTTGAGTGTATAAGAGATGTATATTATTTTATTATTATTATTATTTTGTTTGCTCGCGGCGAGTGGTAGAAATATAACAATGGTACGAGACGGAATGAAGAGATGTACATAGCGAGAAGATATGAAATGTGTATATATAGAATCTTTTCGTATTAAAAAGTCATCGAGTGCATAGAATATACTCCGGAATAGGAAAGTTGCATTGTGTGTGTATGTGTGATGACATCGGACAACAGGATATTCTTGTCTGTACCGGAAGGAACGTTCCGAATATGAAAACGGATTAATGAAACATAAATCTTTTGGCTTTACCTTAAATGGTTTTAAGATCGATCGAAGTTCTCCAGATTCGTTCAGTCTTTCTACGGCTTCTGCATCCTGAGAACAAAGTCAAACGTCGTTCAATTATTAATCATTATCATAAACCAATGGTTTTATATTGTAAACGGCTCAACAAAACAATATTTGCAATTATGTATCGAACAAGACATACGGATTTATGCTGAATATTAAATGTCGGAAAGTTTAATGATTAAAAGTGGTAGATATCGTTTTGATTGCGTTGTCTGAGTAACGTATCTGAAAAAGTACACGTATAGAGTGTAGTGATTATACGATTCAGTTTTGAGTTTGTAGTTATGAAAAAATTATAATTGGATTCGGCCTAGCGTCCATCCAGTTGGTGCCTACTGTTTATGCGTATCGCATTGGATGGGTTTTTTTTTTTTTTTTGGTCAAGAATTTTTTTTTCTTCATATTTATGTAATGTGTCGTAACTCATACGCTACGGGGGATTTTTACCATAAATTACTAAAAATTATCTTAGCGGTTTTTATCAAAAAGCTTAGGCCATTATAACGTTTAGACGCGGTGGCTTAACTTGGTCGTAAGTTTCCCGATACGAAAGTTCATCGACTGATAATATCGTGGACCATATTTTTATGTATTTGGAAACGTTGTGTAAAAATAGTGTTCACTTCGCCACATAAATTATTGTTATGAAAAAGATCTGGTGTAAATTTCGATGCATGAAATGCGATTTTAAAGCTGGGTGATTTCAATTGAAATTTTTGAATAATTACAAACGGCGTTACTTAAATCAAAAACAAAATAAAAAAAAAAAAAAGAGTGAAAAATGTATTAAAAGGTAATAATTTTAAGATTATGACCAATACCACTCGTAACCACGATGTAGTAGATAAACGAACAAATTTTTACGCAATAAATTTGAATCGCAAATGCATCGAATTTTTCAAAAATACTCGTTCAGGCGCTTACGTGGCATCATAAACTACGCTTTGGACGGGAAAACCTTTGTTCGGCGGACTGTGTCGTAATAAAATTCGAGGTGCTGAAACGTTTCATACAGGCATAACAAGTTTGAACGAAAAAATAAAACCATTGATACTAACTCCAATGAGGTTCCCTTCGACGAACAGTTGCGGCACGGAAATCGTGTCCACGCCGCCGAGACGTTCTCTGATTTCCTTCTGCACTTCCCTGCTCATGAAGACGTCTCTTTCCACGAACTTGACCAGATGGGTCCTCAGTATCTGTCTGACCAGCAGGCACCGCTGGTACGTGTCTCTGACTATGCCCATCGTGGTCGTGTACAGCACAACTTTGCCGGCTTCTTTTTCTTGCCACGTCTGAAACACGCACGACGCAATGGAAATTAAAATATTAATCCCCTGTTGAGCTGCGTTGAGCAATACACATTTTACTATACGTATTATATACTAAATAGTCGTTGAGAATTATGAACTGCACCCAGTTTTTTTTCGGTGAAAGTATTCCGATATATGGGAAACGTTTTTTTTTTTATTTATTTATTTATTTATAACTAATCGCGACGCTGCGGAATGTTCGCGGTTGTCTTTCGGAGACACGGCGTTGGTCGGCACACACACGTTATGCGGTATTCAGGTCAAGGAATGCGCGAAAGGTGAAGGTTCCGGCATGTGCATGGACTTACAACCGTTTACCGGTGTACGATCAGTCGGGTTATGTTCGTTTCGGTAAGGTTAAACGACCGAAAGTAAGGTAAAAACATAAGTGTAAACATACACACGTACGCACGCGTATTGTCACGTTTATGAGCAGTAATAATTATTAAGGGCTTAAGGCGGACACGGCACGTATATATGTGTACGTTCCGATGAAACGCCGGAGCACGAAATGCGCAGTCGAAATTTAAACGGTTGAAGCGTTCAATGTTATTATGTATAACTATTTGAAATATGTTATTACAATAAAAAAAAATTTAAAAAAATTGATAGTACAATCATAACTACGAGACGTTGCGCGTTTAGAATATTGGTTATTATTTTTTTCTTCAAAAATCTTATAGTTTTATTATACGTTTCGCTTGTTTGGAGGGCGAAGGGGGGGGGTAGAGAGAAATTACGAAAGTGGAGTAGAACTCGTTTTTGGGTCGCGTGTTTCGACGGTTACGCAATCGCGATAACATAAAAAATATCTGCGTATGCTGCAGTGCATTTAAGTATTGATCTGCGATTTTCAACCTGAAACAATTTCAGAAATAATAGCAGTGCGATATTATGACGTAAGATGGGTAAGAAATAAATAATCGTTGTACCCACGTCCGTACGACATTCAGGTATGCGCGGGCATTCAGGATAAAACACATCCGTTTATATAAAACAACATTACCTATTTATTTATATTAGAATGTATGGGCCACCATCGTTGTGTATTATACTCAATAATATGCATAATTTATTGACCGTTCGACCTCCACAAGGAGATTCGGGTTCATGTTGGTGGACGATGAAAAAAAGAAAGATGAGATAAAACGCAGGCGGCGGCGGCGCGGAGAATCGACCGACAAGGACGCGTAGATGGAATGACCTGTTTCGCAATTAAAATAACCGCGTGAGTGTGAGTGCTCGTGTGTCTAGTAGTAGTTAATCATAGTCGTGGTAATAATAAAAATCAAAATAATAATAATAATAATAATAATAATAATAATAATATAATAGTAATAATATCAAGAAGAAAATAATTTTAATATTATAGTAATATAATGGCGGCAGCCTGGATAAAATAGAAGGCTGAGTCGGTTAAAACTAGCCTGGGGGGCTTTGTTTGTGTGCGTGTATGGATGTATAACGTGTACAAGAGAAGACCGCTCCTTTTTATACAAGGTGTTTCATGAAGATTTACTAATCATTCCGATATCTCCTGCGTCGATAAAGATAATAATATTCCGATGTTTTCATCAACTTACATAACTAAAAATAACTATAACAATAACTGAATTAAATAACTGTTGATTTATAAAAACAGATGCGATTTGTAAGCAAATATTTTCAGGAAAATGAACTTTGTAAAATTATGGAACTCAATTTTACCAAAAAGTACAAAATCAGAAAGTGATTTTTAAAATGCCGATTAAAAATTAATACAGATTAAATCTGGTTATTAAAATAGATAGAATAATCGATTAAGTATCTTAGTTAATACAGCAGACATCGGAATTAGTAAATCCTCATGCAACACCCTGTACATCATACGTGCTAGCGTGTGATTGTGTTTATACGTATGTTTGTGTGTGTACATGTTTTCTTCTTTTTTTCTCGTTGGGTATCATTGACCCTATCGCGATAGCAGATACACACCGAGATTTATGTTCGCATACTAGCGAGTGATCTTTCATTTTGTAAAATCGTTTTGCATTCCTTACCCCCGACCGATGGAAAACATACATACACACACACACACACACACACACACACACACACACACACACACACACACACACACACACACACACACACACACGCACACATGTATATATACATACACGTCATACACGCATGCGCACGGTCATCATATCTTTCTTTTTCGCAATCGGGATTTTAAACGGTAGAAAAAGCTGTATTCGTCGTAGTCGTTCATTGTTCTCGGACGTGCACACAATATCAGTGTTGTAACTAAGGAGAGGCGAACAAAGCTATTGTATCCGACGTCAAAGTTCTGTGGGCTCCAAAATATTATCAATAACATAGCAGCTATAAGTTCGGTACATTTTGTAAAAAAAAATCGTTAAATACTACGTTGCAATAATTTTTAGAATCACTTTACTTGAGTTCAAAATTAATTAATTTTAAATAAATGTAAAAATATTTAGATTTGCTTTGGATTGGGGAGGGGGATGCATTTTAAAATTGTTCTCTCGAGTGAAATGTTTGCCTGGCTCTGTACAATACTATTAGGGTATCAGAGTTTCGAATGGCTGTCGACAACGTTTGATTGCTTCGAACCATCGACCGACCGTGCGTATAATACACTGTATACGTGTACCTACGATTGTATTTCTCGCGGCGGAGAAAAAAAAAACCGCGTTCAGGTGCCAGTCCTTACTTCTGTACACAAACATAATAATATAATGAACATGAGTAGGTACACGCGCGTACGTTTAACAGTAGGTGTACTCTTGATAATTTATATGATGTATGAACCGCTCTTGTGAAACGACTTACTGATAAATAATTAAAGACGAAAACTGCGTTCGACTATGGTAAAAGCGTTAACCTTTTTCTTTTATACACATTGCTACCGTCACAACCGTTGACTATTGATATTTTAAAAATCGTTCGACCATCTATTATCATTATTATTATTACTATTACTAACCAATGGTTAGTAACCATCATCGACGTTGACTTGGTGTAACATGCGTTATGCTCAAACGGCGCGAGTCCGTACATTTTACAGTGCGTGCCACTTTTGGAGTAGGAGTAGGAATAGCAATACTCGCATAGATAAACTTGCAAGAGGTACTCGTAAGGGATGTGCCATGAAAAAAATTGGGCCGCTTTCTCTTATATGAACCTTACTGAACCATTCCTCCTAAAAAAAGGATAAATTTGGGTAAACCAATGGGTTGTATTTTGCCATTTTTGATAAAGATCCTAATTTATTTTATCTAATTTTTACTGATTGTTGTTTAAAATTAAAACAAAGTCCCCGAATGAATAAAAGTAGTAAGAAAATCTACGGGATATGTCACGGCACACCCTTTACGCACGCCTATGAGTATGCAATAATATTATAATCGTAATATCAGTTGTGTGTTATGATTAGCAACGATTTGAAACAGGGTTTGTATACGTCTAGCATGAGATTTGACATTTCTTAATATTTGTTATTATTTCATTTTTCCCAAACTGCCATAAAAACGATTATCCCGTGCACTGGACGTGACGTGAAATTTTTCGATTTCGTTTAAACCCATACCCGGGAGTTCAATATTTTTGAACAGCGAGGACTAAATTTATTGTTTTTTCTTGCACAGATATAATTAATTGAAATATCATCGCAACCAATATGCAAATGCTCTAGGTTAAATCAAAATTAAAGATGTGCATTTAATTAACAATTTCATAATTTTTATCGCAAACTAGTATTTTTAAATAAAAAACTCATCCGTTTCACTATAGTCACTTCCGAATTTTCGATAGTACGATTTAATGTAAAAGGAAAAAATTAAACAATTTAAATGTCATTATAAAGAAATAGTATTTATTTTTTTTGTTTCCGTTGTCTCACGACATTATTTAATTTGTTTTTGTAATTTTATGGTTATTCTTGCTAAGTTTTTCTGAAAGAAAATCTGACGGATAGCCTTCAAATTTCACACATACCAGACATTAAATTTGTCTTTTTTTTAATTTTGTAAACATTTCTCACGCTATGAATTCTAAACAAGTTTCTCCATTGCCAGTTCAATTAAGTTACGAATTATGTGAAATGAAATTTTTGTGTACATTTAGAAATATTTCTGTTTGGACCAACTCATACTCGAGGTAAACGTGTTATACAATTACATTTAAATAATAATTTAATTCCTATATTTACTATGCATATTACATAAAATATAATATCACCCAGAGAGTACTTACATATTCGTAGTATCACACAATTATAATATTGTTATGTAATTATACCACAAAAAAAATGAATTATGTTATTTTTTTGACAACCAAAAAAAACGATGCGTTTTGTCATCTAGTATCATGTGATGGCTGAACTCTAAGATAATTAACCCGTTCTATACCATATACACGCTGACAACCTGATATTTCGAAATATTTTTTCAAATCCGTAATAGATCGTTCATAGCAACAAAATCGAGTATTTTCAAAATTCTTGTTGTACAAGAAACCAATAAACATACATAATATCAATATATAGACATGCATGCTTGTTTTTATTAAGCATTATATTTATGATTCTTTTAGAAAAATGGTCAATAATTGAATCGGAACGTGCCTGGTACCGTGCTAAGAACTATCGTTATATTAATATAAATTTTTATTTTTCCAATTTATGTGTACGGTGTATCCAAAATATTACACAATAAGAAAACTAGTAGTTTCTGAATATTTGGCCAATGCAAAAAGATATATTTTTTTTCATACCCATCGACAGTAGTTTTTCAATAGTCATGTTTGCTAGTCTATGAATGAATGAAAATACGTGTGACGTGAACTTATAGCTAGTGCATATGTCTGCGCGTATAAACTCATTGTTGTATAGTATACAGCCTACACAAGCCACACAGTTTGACCATTTTTTGAAAGAGCGTTCCGTAATTACAAAAGTTGGAAAACCATGCTGGGAA